TTTTTTTTTTTTTTTTTTTTTTTATATTTTTGAATTATTATCCCTTTAGTATCATCAGCTTGCATTGATATTAATTTACCCTTTGTTTTCTTATTTATTGTTGTACTTGTGTACCATAGTTTTCCTTAGTAGGTTCAGCCGTGTACCTGTGTAAGACAACAGAGAAAACAAAGACTGTAAAGTATAGATAGATGTTCACATCAAACCGTTGTTAGATCCAAGTTCTACTACCAGTATAGATAGATAAAATGCATAAACGATAAAATGCATCAACGATACCTTAAATACAATCAGTGGTTGGTGCTGTAGTTCTCAAGCGATTAAGAGCACTGGAGGAGGAGGAGTCTTAGGCATCCTTTAATTAGGGAAAGAGTCGGTTAGTCGCGACAAAAATCGTCAAAGTTTAAAACCTACCTCTTCCTTGCTTAATTCACTCACTTGAGAAAAGATGATTTATACATTTTGTAGAAATATTCTGATCAGCTTTGACCTGTCTTTTTTTTTTTGCAGGGATTCACTGTTCCGTTTAAACGTTTGAATGTTCAAGTCCTATTTTGTATACTTCAATATTTCCATTTCGTCATCAGAGGTCGTATTATATGTGGTGAATTTTGCGAACGGCGCAGCGCCAATTGAAATATTTGGCACTGGTTATCAAAGAAACTACAGGGCAAACGCCGTATTTTTTAGCAATGTCCCCCAAGCAGTAAAGTTTGGGAGACCGTTTGAAAAGAACCAAAAAATCAAGTCATATTTTAAACAGAACTCAACTGCTCATGGCTCACAATGCAATAAGTCGAGGCCTTGGTAGTGGTGGCTGTGTATGGAAGATGCGCGAAATCAAACGTTCACATGCAGAGCAGAACGGAATTCGGCAACTCGCGGTAACGACGCGATGATAAAATGACAAGTTTACTTTTCTACCGATTACGTCGAGAACCAGTCAGCTGTTATATTCACTCTGTGCACAGCTGCCTGTCACCTCTATACTGTTGCTTGCGTAGCGCCTGCATTTCCACAGCAGTTTTACTTTTATAAGTATTACCAATATATGTTACTTATCATTAATTTACCATTATTTGCTTTTACCAATAATTATTTGATCACTGCTGAACAGTGCCGCTGCTACAATTTTCAACTGTTCATTATTTTTCCCGGACAGGCTAATTGGAATTTCTGTATATAGACCTTTCATTTCTAGAATGTCGCTGAAGAGCCCGTCAAAATAAAATGGGTTTCTGGAGGAACAGTTTCAACTCTTTGGAAGCCAATCTTCATACGGATTTTTTTCCGGATTGGTTTCTGTTCATCCGTGATCCCCATTCCGGAAAGACCGTGTATTTGTTAGAATCTCTAAGAATGACCAATTGAATTGACGTAACCCAACTATAAGTTGCAGATCAGTTTTTGAGTTACTAATCTTCCCTTTGTTCTCTTTTGTGTATTCCATGTTCCCTATACAAACCTGCTGCAATTACAGTTTTTCCACCTGTTAAGCGAGCCTATTCCGGAACTATGGCATACTCATTAGAAATCTCTAAGAACGAGCTAATTAGTTTTACCTTAATTAAATTGAGGATCGTGAATTAATTTCACAAAAGCCGTGTATTTTCCTTGTTCTTTATTTATCGTATTCCGGAAAACTTTTCGTCCACTAGAATTCATTCTGGAACCAAGCTATAGCCACCAGAAAGCTCTAAGAGTAAGCTATCTAACTTTTTTTGTTCAATTAGTGGTTATGGACCGACTTTTTGAGTTCAGTTTTTTTTTTTTTTTTCTGCTCTTCGCGTTCTTTGCACTTCCAGAATGTCTTTCCCAACCTGGATGTTCATTTAAAGATGAGCGCCTATGCTCATTAAGAAGGTCTGAAGGCAAACCATTCGGTTTGGTTAGCGGGCTATCGGGCAATATCGTAAGTTATAGGCGTCGTCATTCCTGGTTTGTGTTAAAATTTTTTCGCGGCAGGACGAAGGCTACAGTAGTCCGGTCAGCTGGCAACTTGTCAGAAGTGGTGGGCATTGTTCGAAGTGGGTATCGTTTACCTGGTTTATTTCTGCTAGTATCTCGACAGACAATGGACGGAAGAGAGAAGGAATTGGAATGCAAAGAGTTTAAAGATCCATAAACAAAATGGCATTTATAGCACATCATGTACACTGCCACAATAAAAGTTTAGCACATTTTTACAGAGGTCAGTTGCATAACCTTCGGCTTCCTCTTTATAACACAGTGGCATTGGGTCAATACCGCTGAAGCTCTTCCAGAAGAAGGCTCCTTTGTTCGCAAAAAACTAACACAAATTGGAAATGACGAGCCTATACGTATCTTTTGTTGCGCTGGTTTTTGTTAGTGTAGGAGCGTGTAGGAAAGGAGTTTGTGATATTGTAACGCATAGTGCGGAAGTAATGCGAGCAGTTGTTGAACGCTCCAACGGAACAAAGAAACCAACGAAAAGAAAAATATTGGACCTGAAAAAATGACCCTTAATTCGTAACCGGACTAACACACTTGAGTATCGTTTTTGGAGCTTTATAATTAGCATAGGCTAATTCCAGAATGAACGTCCTAGATAGACGAAAAGTTTTCTGGAAATATAAAAAACACAAGGGGAAGCAAGAAAAAAGTGCGTCTTTAAAAAATGAGTTAAATAATTGCGACTCCTAATTTAATCAAATTTAACTAGCTTGTTTTTAGAGCTTTCTAGTGAGTATAAGATGGTTCCGGTATGAATCCGTCTAATGAACGGGAGGAATGTAAGAAAAAGGCGCATGTCTCGAAAAATTAATTTACGACCGTCGATTTAGATAACAAGAAGTACTTCCTAGAGCTTCCCAGTGAGTATAGGATGGTTCCAGAGCAAACCTCCTAATGAATGAAAGAGTATTTGTCCACAGACCTTTAAACATATACGGAACTACAGCAGGTTTTTAGAGGGAACATGAAATAGCTTTAAAAAAAGTGCACAACTCAAAAACTGATCTGTGAGTTTTAGTCGGACGACCTTATTCACTTACTTATTCTTAGAGCGTCCTAAAACTACACAATCTTTCCGGGGTGGGCATCCTGAATGAGCAGAAACTTGTTCTGAATCACATCCGTAAGAAGCTTAGTTTTCGGGGAGTTGGAAGTGTTTCAACAGAAATGCATTTTATTTTAGCAGGTTCTCCGGCGATAGGTAGGAAATAAAAAGTCTTGTATGCAGTGAATGCTTCGAATCTTCTAAGTTTCAGGTGCAATCGGATTGCAGCACTCTGTCATTGCAGTGATGGCAACATTTCAAGGCAAACGAGTTTTGGTTACAGGAGGTAATCGAGGTGAGCTTGATGCTCCTACCCATTTAGTTTGTTACACACTAACCCTTTCTCAGCTGAACTATCACTTTGGTCTCCTTCCAATCTCGTTACTGGACGGCGTCAGTTATTTTTTTTTGCAAGTGAAGTATCCGCTGATAAAATTTGGAGCAAAAAAAATTGTTGTTGCAAACGTGATAAACTTTTGAGTGTTTTTCAAAAGTGTTATGGATAATGTTCTGCAGTACCACTATAGTGTCACGCCTAAAACTCATTACTTCAGATTATTCGTTTTCAAAGTAAATTGTTAGAATTCACCTAGTTGACCACACAACCGAAGCGTGCAGCATTTTTTCCTCTGTGCTTTAACTTTTGAACATATACAGGACTACATCAATTTTACTGAGTAGTATTAGAGTGTGTTATTGCTTACTTTTTAACAAGCATTTTGTGCTTGATTTACCCCCATAGTAAAGTAATGAAATGACATAATCGTGAAGGGGCTTCCTCTCCTAGAGCAGCGACAGCAGTATTATAGAGTCAAGATTACTGACAGTTTGTCAACTTAAAGGCAGTTAAACCATAAAAGGTGGTTTGCTTCTTAATTATTGTTCTTTGCAACCATGAAAGCAGATATCATTTCTTCCTGAAAAACCGCCGTTTTAAGGAATTGGAAAAGGTGTTGTTATTGCACTTGCCAAACTTGATGCTAAGGTTGTTGCTCTTGGAAGAAACAAAACTGATCTCGATGAGCTGGCTAAAAAGGTACTATGGTTAATACCTTCGCAATACTTAATTCACATTAATTCACTACATTTGCGTAGAACAGTCTAATTTACTAGACCTTAAGTGGATATATGGTTATAAAAAATTTTTTGAGGCGATATACTATGTCTTGAATTTGTATATTTAAATTCCAAGCTTCGCAGTTATTCACTATCCATGTCCTACTTCTTTTTCATATATTCATTTATTTTTCAACATGAATTTTTTTAGTTCCCAAACGTCTCGCCTGTCATTTGCGACGTTACAGATGACAGAAGAAAAATAGAGGCAGCTTTAGAACCCTACCAGCCTTTTGACTGTTTGGTCAACAACGCTGGAGTTGCAATTTTGGAAACCTTTTTGGAATTTACGGACGACGCTCTCAATAAGTATGCATTCTTAACCTTGCTGTAATCATCCTGACTTGTTATTAGTACTTGTCGGCTTTTTCGTCACATCTCACCCATACCTCTACTGCAAGAAAATCTACTTTGAAAGCTTTCCACAAAGGGCATATTTTTGGAGGGTTGTTTTTGCACAATATTAAAATGTTTCCCGAGCAGCTTTACCAGACGAGTACACTCACTGACGTTCGTTCTATGACTTTTTCCCGTGACCTCCCCTAACCTTTTTAAAAGCTGAGAGAGACGGCATAATAGGTTGCAACTTCCGTCAGTTTTGCAGTGAATGGCAGTAAGTAAAAGTGCCATTATTGCCAAGGTTGTTGTAGTTACTGTCCCTCAACGCAGTTTTGCAATACGAATGCCTTGTTTGACTAGATGGAGGGGGAACTGAGAACTATAAATTGCGGCTTTTGCAAACGCCAATTTTCTTTAAAAAGTCGTTGAGTAATATTCTACTGCTACTTCAAAACTTTGAAACTGTAACAGTTTCACAAAGTCGTTCTAAATACAGCTTTTGTAGAAGCGTCGTCTCCTGATGTGAAGCACTTCTTTATGTTTTAGACTTCATACATCAATATCATCACTTCTCACGACTTGGGCGCAGAATATTTTAAAGATTCTCTCACAGTAGATGAAAAACAAAATTAAATGCATTAAATTTTAGCAAAAATTTCAATTTTTGTGCAATATTTTCCAAAGTCCTCAATAACTTATTGGACATTCACAAGCAATTACTTTTTAGCAGCGTTGCTACTAAACCTAATTATGACCAAAAGACCAAATCAAAATCCCTTCTTGCTTCTTTACTTGCAAGTACAGCTGTCTGCTTCCAAATCAACATCGTTTTTTTATAAAACTAGTAAAGATACTACAGTTCCCTTATAATATCGTTCATTATATAACGGGTCGTAATGTTCATAAATGATAGTCATACCACTAACTTTTTCCCAGTATAAAAAATAGTGAATAACAATTGGAGTCAAGTTTAAGGAACTACGGACAAAACTAAGACTAAGCCCTCTCGGTTTTTTCTTATAGGGATCTCGCAGCTTTCCCACACAGCCACAGCAAGCGTACTTTTTCATCCAAGGTTTTTTCGCGACTCCAACCGCCTGTGTTTTTTGTCCCCGTTTCATGTAGTCAACGGTTTAAATCCGTAGAAACTTATTCGTTCCCGTATTTTTATGATAGGCATTCACAAAGAGCCATAAAGCAACTGGCGATATCGCATTTGAGCATGCCCGTGCCAAATATGACTTCTTTTATCGGCAATCTAGATCCATTTTTTTCACACCGGGTTTTTGACCCTACATCTATTTGGAGCTACTTCAAACTTATTCAGGTTCTTTCCTTGACTTTCCAAGAACCTAATTTCTAAGTATCTCCTGATTTTTACGCAGTCTCACAACAACTTTCTAGTAATGTACGCTAAAGCAGACAGTATTTCCATCGTTTCGTCATTTCAGTCCTGGAGTTTTGGTAATTTAAAAATCACTCCGCACAAATTCTCTTTCAACAGTTTCGGTAATTGTCTCGTGGTCAGCCTAAAAACGCTTACGTAATCCTAGCCTTTTAGCTTTGTCCGTACAACCCACTGTATGAGGTGCTCAAATAAATTATTAATAAAGGCCTCCCGAAAAAGTAGTTCTCCCCATGAATTTATCAATCACTTGTGAAGACTACTGTAAATGACGACTGAGAATACTGAGGGCATTCTGCTGAAGAGTACGATTTTACGTAAATGGCCAAAAAAAGCATTGCTGCTTTAGCCAAAAACACCTGCAAAAGAGCGACAAGCAAACCTTGGGAAAAACAATTCAACGCTGTACAGTTCAAAAAGCAAGCACTACCCGTCACATCACATGTCTTCAAAAAACCTACTCTTTTTGATTGGTACGAAAGACGATGAAGGACACTTCAACACCAGGTCCTCAGAAATTTAGGAAGCCCCTGTACAAATCCAAAGTTTCCAAAAACGGATCAAACGTCAAAGAATCTAAGTGCAAAAAAATTAAATTAGTAAGAACGGAGAAAGTATTGACGGTGGCAGACATCACCTATCTGCAGTACCACCAAAGAGCGATATCACAAATGTGCACTTTGTGAATAGCTCCAGAATATATTGACGAAATGTCCAATAAACAGCTCGAGAATCTTGCATACCAGCAGCACGAAAACAATGACTATAGCCTGCCTTTTCACTTACATAGGTTTCTACATCTAAAGAAGCATTTCACTGAATCATTCAGTTAAATGCTTCATGCTAATGAGTTTTCGATTTCTTACTGACCAGCCATTTCCTACAAATTACCAGCACTTAAAGGCTACAGTAATCAGAAGTGAGCGTCGTGCGAGGGTTTCTTAATCGTTTTGGTAGTTGTTGCACATTACCTACACACACATTAACTGCGTCACAGAGACGGTGGCTTCGCAGCCAGCTTGCGATTGCTGCATTACTGCGATAATACTCACTGCACACGCAAGTCTACAGTGCGATACAAAAAAGCGTTTCTGCAATTTATCATTCAAACTATAACCTCTCCTGTCACCTTTTCTGTCCATTAAATTGATTTCTAGGCAACTGATGGTAAATTTGCGCGGATCACTGGTTATATCTCAAATAGTTGTTAAGCGAATGATTGCTCACAAAATTCACGGTGTTATTGTCAACGTGTCTTCCCAAGCGTCACTCAAACCTTTCGAGTCGCACACCTGCTACTGTAATTTCTTATCCCACTTCAATCGTACTTTTCATTAATTTTTATCGGATGCTTTAACAATCTAGGTGTCAAGGCGCTTCCAAAGCAGCTCTGGACATGGCTACTAAAGTTATGGCAACAGAATTAGGAAATCATTCTATAAGGATTAATTGCGTGAACCCAACTGTTGTCTTGACTGATATGGGCAAAAGAGTAAGTACCACCTATTTGAAAAAAAGTAACTCAAATAAGCCACAAGATACCAACGTCAGAAACTTACTGTCAAAACTTTTAAGGCTTGGAGTGACCCAGAAAAGTCTAAATGTGTCCTAAGCAGAACCCCGCTTAAAAGAGTTGCAGGTGCTGTGAATGTCCTTCATATATAAAACCAAAAATGGCAAAAATTTTGCCCATTCAAAACTAATAATTTTTAGAGGTGGACGACGTAGTTAATGCCGTGCTCTTTCTCCTCAGTGAAAAATCCTCTATGACGACAGGCTCCATTCTTCCTGTTGATGGAGGCTATATCAGTGCATGAAACCGCCAAAACCGATAAAGAAGCAAAGAATGAGGATGAAACGACGATTGAAGATTAGACTACTGATGATGACGCAAAGCAGTAAAGTATTCTTTGATAAATTACTACAAAAAACCTACAGAGACTTCCACATCAGACACCAAATGCAATGTTCTGATCTCGTCAAAAGCCGAAATAACGAATTTTCAAAAAAACGTTAACAGTTGCTAGCTTTGAAACATATTTTTTTACAACAAACTGACGCTGTATAAACAGTCATAAATTTTTTTGCTTCACAAGAAGCTACCAAGAATAAAGCAGCATGCAAAAGCTCATTCTCAGAAAGTCAAACGTCAGACAATATTAGCTAAAGGAGAGTAATAACAGTTAAATCAACTTGAGGGTTTTCTGTAAAAAAATGACTGAGCAAACAAAATCACGAGACTCTAACAGTGAAGGTTGGAGCACTTGACCTAAACAACCTAAGCTTGCCAAAAGGACCTGAATTATTTGTGAAAAGAGCGGTATCTATCAAGTTAAAGAAATAAGACGAAAAAATAAAATTAGTCAGCGAAATTATGAGTGTAATCTGAGGGATTTTTAAAAGATGCGAAATGATTCTTCATTTCTTCAGATAAATTTGAGCCATTGCCAAGTTCCTCCTGCACAATGCAAAAGATGTCGTCAAAGTTTTTAAGTTGCAAATCAGCGATTCTCGTGGAAGGGCTTAAATACAAAGACAGCTCATT